CCCCAAAACCCCAAAACCCCAAAACCCCTCTTCGGAGGAAAATTTTTGATAAATTTTTAACTTAAAACATGGAAGAGATTGTTAAGGGAATGGGGGAGAAGAGCGGGTGAGAAGGAGGGATTCAGGCTGTGATTGAGCTGGTTGAGATTTATGGGGAGTTGAGGGTGGAGGAGGTGGGGAGGAGGGAGAGGGGTATTGGAGATGGGGGTAAGAAGAGAGGGGGGATGGGTATGGAGGATATGGGTGTGAATGGGGTTGTAGATAGGAGAATGAATGAGGATGGAGGTGAGGATGGTGTAGAAACCAAAATTAAGTCAGATTTTGATAGTAAGATACCTCATAAACCTTTCAAAAAACTGATGAAATTAGCCACTGAGCCTACTAATCAACAGGCTAAACTCGACAATGACCCATCTCAAGTATCTATTACTTCTGAAAATCCATTTGTTCCTCCTGTCTTTATCTCCACTCCATTCTCTATCTTTGCTAATAAATCCTTCATACTAAAATCCCTCCGCCACCTCCTTCACCCAAAATCCCACTTCACCCCTTCTCTGCACTCCCTTTCTTCTAAAACTCCTGAAGCCCTAAAGAGAGTTAGGGGATTTTCTGTTGGCAACAAATATCAGCATGTTTTGTTTCTGGATTCGATGAATTTATGGAATGCTAACTTTTGAGATAATTTGAAGATCACTCAGCCGAATTATGATAAGAAATGCTTAGGGTTAAGCGTTAGTGGAATGTTCCTTGACAAAAAAGCATTGGTTAGAGTTTTTAGGGTTTCTAAAAGAGCAAAGAGTAGGAAGAAATTACTTAAAAAACGCAAAAAGTTGATTAAAATGATCATGGATACTTACAATGTTAAGGAAATTCATTATATTGAGAAAACAGATACTCTGGTTTATGAAGTTGAAAATTTTAGAGTAAAAAATAGTCACTAAAATTTTCATTTTTAAAATACTATGAGGGGTTTTGGGGTTTTGGGGTTTTGGGGTTTTGGGG